CAATCTTAATACAAAGTATCACTTAGAGTTTTCACGTGTTCGGAAATTCTAAACCCTAATCAGGGCAAGTGATGAAACTACTCGATAAAACATTACTCCTTAACCCTCAGGGACATATAACAATCATAACGAGACTTAACGGGATGTACAAACCTTGCGTTGCAAAGCCAAACACTCAAAAAGGTCACAAAAGAAGTCTCTCCCAATCTCTTTCACTCTAACTTTCCCAAATCTCTCTCTCTGTATGAGAAATCTCTCCCAAATCTCTCCAAGTATGTGAAATCTCTCCCAAATCTCTCCAAGTATGTGAAATCTCTCCCAAATCTCTCTCTGTATGAGAAATCTCTCCAAGAATGTGAAATCTCTCCCAAAACTCTCTCTGTATGAGAAATCTCTCCAAGAATGTGAAATCTCTCCCAAATCTCTCTCTCTGTATGAGAAATCTCTCCAAGAATGTGAAATCTCTCCCAAATCTCTCTCTGTATGAGAAATCTCTCCAAGAACGTGAAATCTCTCCCAAATCTCTCTTAAAACCTCTTTTGAGATTTTGTAATCATTTGGGGCATCCCGACACTTGACTTGGTGAAAAACCATTCAAAAAGGGGTGATACCTTGGAAAATAGCCTCTTAGGGCCGAAGTCCCTCTATAGGGACCAAACCCTCCTTGAGCCGAAGCCCCAAGAGCCAAGACCGCAGCCATCGAGCCGCAACCATCAAGCCGCAGCCATCGAACCGCAGCCATCGGACCTCGAGCACCGCATCCGAACTTCGCCTATGGTCCCTCATGATGAGCCGCTTGCGGTACCTACTCGGACCGCAGTCCCCTCCCCCTCGGACCCAATTCAGCGACCAAAGCCACTCCAGTTCTAAGGCTGCTAAGACCCGAAACCAAGCCCTGACTTCGGATTTGCCACTTTCCACCCGGTTTTCAACCACGACTTCGTTTTAAGCCCGTTTTTAATTATTTTAACGAGGGATTTTCACCCAAACTTATATTTTGACATATAAGACCCCATATATTCATAAATTCAACATATTTTTAGGGAAATCCTTAAATAAGCATAAAATCTATTAAGTAAGATCTTGAGGTGGAGTGTTGACTTTACTTTAGTTTATGACACAAGCAACCACCCACACCCACTCCATGACCAGCCCACCCCCCCCCCCACCATACCTGGTCATTCATCGTCTTTTTCCCATCATTTCCCAACCCCATTCCTTGTCTAAGGCTGAAATCTATCCTCTCTCCTAATACTCGCTCTCATTTTCTCATTATTCCACCAAAGATTAAACACATTTTCTCTCTCAATTCTCTCACTAAAATTCGAGATTCAAGGGCCTTCTTCCAAGCTTTTCTTCCACTTTTGGTAAGTATATTCATCCTCCATATAATTATTTCACTTCCTTTTACTCAAATCATAGATATTTTACACAAACATCATCACATTCATGTTAGATCTTCGAACCTTCAAGGCATCTTCTTAGTGTTCTTGAGTTGAACACTACCTTTCTCCATCATCCATCTACTGAAATCACTCAAGGTGAGTTCATACCCCTATCTTTTCATGTTTTTCTTAAGTTTTAAAGGGGGGGGGGATACAAGTTAAAACACCAAGAACACAACTAAACTCATTTAACAGCCTTCATCAGAAAAGTTCAACTCCATTCACGGACTGTTTTGGTCAACTTAAATATTTTAGTTTTCAAAACTGTATTAGGTGCAAATATTTCAGGTTCATACCTTTAAAATGACTATTTGCACATCTCCATACGATTTTTCTACGATTTATGGTGATTTTTACAAAACTACCTATCATTGCAGAAACAAATTCGGACCAGTCTGTGAATATGAACAGTTTAACACAAGTTAAAGATTTCTAAAAATCATAATAAAAATTATGAATAAACTAGACAGATTTTGTGAACTCGCAGAATTTACGGAATCAGTTTTTGACTTCGTATGATTTTTCTAGGATTTTTCTAAAACCGTGTAGAAAGGTAAAAATCTAGATAACAGCTTATAACTTTCATCACACTTTGTAACTTGTTGAGCAAAGTGTTAATATTTGAAGATTTCATATTTTACATGTGTTTCTTGTTGTGGTATAATTATATAACAGAAAATACTCACTAAATTGTAAGAATCCTCCATTATTACCATTAGTACAAAAAAAATAAGCATGATAACACATAGTTATATTTTGCTATACATTCGACTTACATAGAAAATGGTCCTTATACATCACAAACAAACACGCTAGAACTATAATAGGTATAGTTTAGGTTCACTACCACTACCACCAATTGATAAACTATAATATGCATAATTCAGGTTCACTATCACTACCACTATTTGGTGAATTATGATATGTATAGTTTATGTTCACTACCACTACCACTATTTGATAAACTATAATATGCATAATTCATTATCACTATCACTACCACTATTTGGTGAATTATGATATGCATAGTTTATGTCCACTACCACTACTTGATGAATTATGATAAGCATAGTCTCGGTCTTTGGTTTTTAAGACTACATTCTATCTAGCATTGTTAGTTTTCAGCCATAATTACTAAGTGTATATGCTAGAGTTATATAGAATTTAGTCATGATCGACCTATAATTGGTGGGTCCGCTTTATTTCCTGTTCCTTGTTTGGTTGTGGGCCTAGGGCAGACCCATTACATTCGACAGTCTATTTAACTTAAATTTTATATAACTTATATACACTTAGAGATTATAGAAGGAAACTATAAGAAATTCTAGGATGCACTATTTATTAATATAGAAACTTACGATTCACTCTTTAAGGAAAATATTGGATTTTCTTTGGAAACACATCTCTATTAAAACTATTTCATCTAGAATTGTTAGACTTCAGCTATAATTGCTAAGTGTATATGCTAGAGTTATATAAGAATCTAGTCACAATCGACTTAGAATTGGTGGACCCGCCTTATCTCATGTTCCTTGTTTGGTTGTGGACCTAGGGCAGACCCATTATATTCGACTGTTTATTTAACTTAAATTTTATATAACTTATATACGCTGGACGATTATAGAAGGAATATACGGGTCTTTCTAGGGTTCATTATCACATAACATAGGAACATTCTTTTCGCACTTAACTAAGAAAATATTGGATTTTCTGGAAATCACTCTATCGCTTTTACAAGAACAACGGTTTCTTCATCAAACAAAACTCTTATGAACTCACCAACTTAATTGTTGACACTTTTCAAAACTACTTGTATTCTCAGGAAATCAGTGAAACAGGAAAACATCAGCACTTTGAGGATGGGACGTTAAATCGTCAAACAGTTTATTTTGTCATACACTATGGTGTAACCTTTTCATTATATTTATGATGGTTGTATTTACTTTGAGCACTATTATACTCGTTGTTGTGATACTTTACATGAAGTCCTCCACCCCCGGACGTTTCCGCCATCCTTGGTTTGGGGGTGTGACAAATTCAATGAACAAAAAAGCGACTAAATACTTCGGGTCAGGAGCTCCATGGATCACACGAAGGTCTGCTTACAAACCCGGACACCTACAATAGAACTTACCAAGTAGACATTGACAAATTCCAAACAATGCAAAAACTACCCAATAAATAATAAATTAATGTTTAAGTTTGAAAAAAGATTTTAAATCATATTTTTCAACAAGACTAGATTTTCCGTTAAAAAAAATAAAATTCAATGATATTTTTAAACACTTATTTGCCATTTATAGAAAAAATATGGTTAGAAACTAACGTAATTCATGAGCTTAAAGAACGGCATTGATGGATGCATTGTTTAAAAATAATTGTGATCCTAAGGCTGAAGGGTGTTGTGAACTCTTTACCGCCGGGAAGCCAACGTGTCACCTCCGTGGCACCTTTACCGGCAGTGAACACCGCACCGTAATGATATTATTACCGGCGGTGAGTTTCCACCACTCACCTTCTTCCTTTGCCGTTCAACTTGACCCACTTTCTTTGTTTCTTTTGCCTGCTGTAAACATAAAACACCACACCTCAAGCCTTTTTAAAAATTGCAAAATTGACAAAGATGTCCCCCTCAACCTTGGTGGCCAATGGTAAAAACGGTATGACACCGTTTATTCTAACATCCAAATTTACAATAGTTTATGAGCGGAAGTTAGTAACGACAATGATACCTCCACCCCAAGTATTGGATCAGGAAATTATATGACATCTAAAATTTGAAGACATGACTACTAGCAAATTTAAAAACAAAGATATTTATTTTAGCTCGGTTGAATGAAAGTAACCATAAATGTCCATTCACCCCGACAATGATACTTCTATGTTAACTTTGCAATCTATTTTTCCTCTTAGTGACTGGGTACTATTAGATCGAAGGTCAAGACCCACCACCTAACAAATGGAAGTTTGTATTTGACTGAAGGATTACTCGGATGAAATTGCATATGAGATATCACCTCCAACTGTTGAAGTGGATGAGGAACACAACTACAATGAGGAAGTACGAATTAGACAACGCCCAAGAAGGAGAAGATTAACAAATCAAAGAAAACAATAAATCAACAAATAAATAAAACTTGTGATTAATTTACATGTTTTACGTTTTCATATCCGGGTTCCATTTTTTTTTTCCCTTTTTGTATTAAAGATCAAACATAATATAACTAGCTATTGGATTGCTGTTAAATTAGTGTTGCAAATTTGTTTTACGCATTAAGAAAACAATTCAAATTATCTAAAAATCCGGTTTCGAACCGGTCCCAATCCGTTTACATCGGATCCCCCATTTTACCTCTCTCTAAATTGAGTAAATATTGAATAGTAAACCAAAAAATCCCATCCGGTTTAAATTCGATTTTGTTTACCTCTACCGAATCATCTCAAGAAATTCGGGCCAAACCAAATCTGGTTATAGTCCATGAGGTTCAAGGCCCAAGAATACAACCCATTCATGTTTAGAAAGCACAAACCATCACCAAAGTCAATGTCAATATAATAGATTACATTAAGAAAAGATATAAGGCAAATTCAAATAAATCTTGACATCACCACCCAACTCCATTTTGTTCCTTATAGTCTAATAATGTTTAGAGTAGTATCATCACACTATGATTCATAACAATAGCCACAAACTTAAATGCTAAAATTCTATGTCGTTTTAGGCATTTCAACGTTCGCCCAATCTTTCCTGATGTCAAACGTATAGTTGATCTCCAAGTAACATTTGCCATCATCATCAACAAACTGAAAAAAAACAAAAAAACAAAAACAAAATGGATGCAATTATATAAATCTAGTACAATTTTACATAGGAATCAACAAATAAGTTGGTACAAATTAAAGCACAAATGATGAAAAAATGCATTGCAGATATTATTTGTACCAAACAGTATCATTAGCCTCTCAACACATGGACCAGCAAAATAATGAATTCCTTTAAAAAAACAGAAATAAAGTTTAAATATGGCCTTTACTACTTTCAATAAAGATGGATACGTGGCATGTACTTTCAATAAATACCATGGGCCACAACCCACAAGTACCAATGCCAATGGCAATTACCTCATAATAAAACGAAAATTTTGAATTTTCTTTCTAATAGTTTGGACTTCAAACAAATATGATTGGTATAGTATCATCTCTTTAACAACATTTCAAGATCAAATTTTCTATTTTGAAAGAAAATCTTTTGAGATCAAATGTTGTAACGACTTAATTTAGGGATAAATCACAAAAATGTACAAAATGGTGTAGTTAATCTACCAAATTGACCTCGTTTTTATAATATTTGAATGTGTATTTCGTAAAAAGATTTTGAAAATGCAATGTATTACTTTGAAAATGCAATGTATTACGAAATACTGATTCATATATTGCAAAATATAAGATTTTTTTGATCGAAATTTGATTTGCAATATATGAATTTGTATTTCGTAAAAAGAGTTCGAAAATGCAATGTATTACGAATTACTGATTCATATATTACAAAATATAAGATTTTTTTGACCGAAAATTGATTTGCAATATATGAATCTGTATTTTGTAAAAAGATTTCGAAATTCGTAAAAAGATTTCAAAAATGCAATGTATTAGGAAATACACAGATTCATATATTGCAAAATATAAGATTTGTTCTTCAAAAATAAAGTCATTTAATTAAAAATACCAAATCATTTTTGATTTTTGTCATTTATGTGATTAGACCCTTAAATTTTACCTTAGTTTTAGCAGAGTAAGAGCCTCTTGCAAAATAACCAGAAGGGGTTGTCTCCTCTGGCATGTCATAAGTGTAAGCTTCTAGTTGGGGACTAAAAGTACCAAGCATATGTTTCACTCCATCCACTAAAAACACGAAAAGAACACCAAAATTTTCAAGTTTTTGTCACGAAATAGACACAAAAATCGAGGTAAATAATTACCTTTGACGCCAGTTTTCCATACATTGTTGGTGTACTTTAAACCTGAAACAATGTTATGGCTAACTTGAAATGAAAACCGAAGGCTATAAGGACAACCTTCTTTCAAAGTAAACCATGGACCTTTCGGTTTTCCATCTTCGGGTATCGGAAGAACAATGTCAGATCTCCCTGGTGACATGATCGAAAGACTCAAGATCTTCACTTCTGGTTCTAATGATTCTGTAAAGAAAAAGAAGCGATTGTTACATCAATTTAAGAAATTGAAGGAATGAAATTGAGTTCTGGACCTCCAACAGCATTAATGTCGACATTTCCAAGTAGTTGTTCTTTCCACTTTGTGAGACTCTCATCATCCTACAAACAATTGAAAATGACAAAAGGGAATTGAAGGGAATGAAAGAAAAAGGAGGAAATGGATAAAGATTTGTACTTTGTCTTTCTCGAATTGTTCTTTGAGGGTGTACTGAGGACCCAAATCGATCTTATGACTCTCTGCATCTTCTCCTTCGTCTTCAGTTTCACAAATGGAGGATTCGCTTCCTTTTTCATCTCCATTATCTTCAATTTCACTCTTCTCTCGTTTATTTTCTTCGAGTCCCATGTTAGTGGAACTAGAAACAGCTTCGACGACCAACGACATTAATTCATCAAAGGGTAATCGACTTATTCACAAGAAAAGATATGAGTTTGGACCAAGAATGTTGAGTTCTTGATGAACACCCACCTAGAAATTTACGAATTGGAAGCCGGAAAAAGAAAGGAAAAGGAAATGGAGTGGGATTGAAAAACACCCAAATGGATAAAAATGCTTCCTTTCTTGGTGTAAGAGGTGTTGTCTTTTGTTGGGGAAAGTGAAAAATTCTTGAAAGATAACGGTTCTTTAACGCCAAGAACATCCAAGAATGTTAAAAGAGAGCGGAAAAAACAAGGGGCAGAGGACAGGCCCACAAAGAAACGATGGAAACACGAAAAACGGGTAAATGGGGTTTCGTTTAATAATTAATTCTTTTAATGATTTTGGGGAAATGTTCTGGATTGGATGAGACGACAATCTGACATTGTTCGTGTGAGAGAGTAGGAAAGAAAAAAGTTTTTTATGTGGGGTGGTAAGGTGTTGTATTTGGGTTGGTATGGCGTGGGTTTACAAGTTAAAGTTAAAATGTATTAATCCGTATAGGAACCATATATTATCCGTGTTACTGGTTGACAGCCGAAAAACATCAATCCGAACGCTATCTAACTAACTTATTTAATTATACGGCTTCACATGGTGAGATTCGGGTTCGTATGTAAAATTCGGATTCGTGGGTTAGATTCGGGTAACGGGTTTTCGGGTTGACCCGTAAACCCAAATACTAAATATTAGTTTTGAATATAATATATAATAATTAGATTTAAAATGTACATATCATAATAAGCATAGTCGCATAACATCATAAAGACAAAACAGACACATCATAATAATACAAGTATATAAATTTAAACCAAATATATTATACAGGTTGGAGGAATGACCTATGAACCCAGATATTAACATCAACACAACCGTATATTTTGATTTGTCCCCAAGAGTTTGAATAGTTCTCTCCAAAACTTCCCCGTGAATTGTGGATCTCGGTCACTGATAATGCTGCGTGGAATCCCCCAAAGCTTCACCACATTCTTGAAGAACACTCGCAACTTCATCAACTTTACATTCTGCTATGACATTCTTTTATGACAGGAATAATGACAGGAATAAATGTTGCATATTTGTTTAATCGGTCTACTACCACCATTATGGATCGAAACACCTCAGATTTTCTAAGTGTGGCTATGAAATCCATGGAGATACTGTCCCTAAGGCCTTTCGGCGATCAGGAGAGGTTCCAAGAGCCTTGTTGGTCGTTTTTGTTCCCCTTTGTCCTTGTGGCAAACAAGACATGTTCTCACATACGCTTCAATGTCATCCGGCATAAAATGCTAACAATGAAGTTGCGAGACAAGAGCAAGAGTCCGATGCATTCCTAGTTGACCGACCCATAACGAATCGTGACATTCCTTGACCACTTCACGACACAAGTTTTTCCACACATGCACATATACTCGATTCCCCACTGTGTATAACAGCTCATCTTCCAGTTAAAATGTGACATCCCCAAATTCACGGTCATTTAAAAAATTTTATTTATCCTTATTTGAAAATCAAAGTATCCATTTAAAGAATAATATTGAGGAATTTGTTCACAGAAAACATGATAAATATATTATCAAAACATTTTCGAAGAAATGTATTTTGTTTATATTAAAACTTTAGGATGTCATTGTCAATATAGAAACATAAGCATAAACAGATCTTACATTTATTTACACTAATGATTTACATCTCCTTTAATCTCTCAGTGTAATGTGTCTTCGTATCGGTACCTGTGATACAAATAAACTAATTGGGTCAAGTTGGGAAACCTGGTGAGTACATATGGGTTTCAACCCACAATAATAAAGTTATTATGTTTCATCATCAAACAATTAACCCAATTATCCATCCCCATTTTATTCTTTATTCTTAAGTATCTTCCTTAAGAATCATCTATTCCTCAATATTTATTCCTAAGGATTGTCCTAAGGAATAGGCACGAAGTCCATCGTTGCCAAGGTTTATATAGTCCATAGTTGCCGATGTTATCTGTTAGGCACTAAGTCCATAGCTGCCAATGTTCATCTATAGGGCACTAAATCCATAGCTGCCAATGTTCATTTGTAAGGAGCTAAGTCCAAAGCTGCTAAGGTTTTTAGAGTACATCTGGTGAACACATAGTTCAAAAACACCTACAGTTTGCGAGCCTGCTAGCGTTCCACTAGACTGTCTAGAATAGTCTGTGGTCGTCATCTATACTCTGCTAGATGACTGGATCATCGCTTGGGTCAAGGCGTCCCATCATCTTTCACCTCTCATCATCTATACCATCTTTCATCTTTCATCATTCATCTCATCTTTCATCTACCCATCTTTACCCATCATAATTATAGGTATAAAATACGTATACAATTTAAATCGAATAAAACATGTATAATTTGTTCATATAGCATAGATATCAAGAACACAGATAATATACACATATAACACGTAATTTATATTAAATACTTCTTATCTATGTGTAGGATGAAAGTAACTATGCACTCACTTGTTAAAGTGATGACTCAAAATTCGGACAGCGCTTCGTTTCTAACAATCGTATTTTCCTTCGATGAAACCTAGCATTATTATTGCTAAGTTTTAGTCTAATATTTATTGCGACTAATTATTAGTCTAGATTTACGAGCGATATTGTTTTATAAGTGTTAAAAAATATTTTTGAACTACTATGTACAGGCAGGGGCCATACATGAAACACCGGAGGGCAGGATCATTTTGGCATTTAAGCTGTTCTGAAATCCAACAACCCTATGCCGCCCTTCAAACCAGATTCCCCGTACCGCGAGCAGTTAAAAGGTATAATAATAACGTTTTTAATAATTTATACTTAGCACATATATTGCTTATAGGTTCATAATAACGATGATGAACTTAAATATAAGTTATACTTAAAGTAGGATAAACATAACTCACTTACAAGGGAGTTTATCGAAGAACCGGGCTCTGCGCGAGCGGAACTTCTGAGCCGGAAGCTCTTCTTCTTAAAGCCTTCTGGTCCTCCGGGACTCGACTCTAACACTTGGGAAGTGCTAGGGAATGGTAGGGGTTAGGAAGTATATTTGAGAGAAAAAGAATGGGAAAGGTGTGAAGAGAAATGAAAAACCTCGCATCTATTTATAGCCTGCCAAATGCGAGTGCGCGGGGCGTACCTTCGGAGTACGCGCCAAAGTGCTACGCTGCGCATACGAGGGTTTAGGTCTCATCATCCGAAGCGAAGGCGTGGGGAGCAAGGGAGGGTCCAGATTTGGCCACGTGTCACCCTCGCATCCTCTTATAAATTAATGAACTTCTATATTTTGAAAATTTCGCATACGAGCTCCATTTTCAATGTTCTTTGTGTCCATGCGTAAGTAGCGACGTGATCTACAACTTTCTTTTAGACTCCGTTGGTTAATTTTGACTTTATTTTTAAAGTTATATTTTAACAGGCTTAGACAGATAAAGTCCGTTAAAATTTCATAACTTTGTCATCCGACGTCTGTTTTCGTTTGTCTTTATATCGTTGAGCTTCTATTAATGAGATCTTCAATTCTCATTTAGGTTTTGTCGGCTAAAAATCGATCGATCTAAAATTCGATTTCCGGACGGTGCACTGCTAGGCTAAATCTTAGAAAAATCACAACTTATTCATATAATGTCAGATTTGGACGTTCTCTATATTCACGATTTCGGTTTAACGTCTACTACAACTTTTGTTTAGATCTCTAAGGCTAAAAAGTTGTTTATCAAAAATTCACTTTTTACGTTACGCGGTGTCGTGCCAGTTTAGCCGTAAAACTTCGACGGGTCATAACTTCTTCGTTATAACTCGGATTTCAGCGTTATTTATATGTACGGAACCCTTGTGACATATACTATAACTTGTTTAAGATTATTCATTCTAAATAATCTTCTATCAAAAAGTCATTTTTGACTATTGCCTCTAAATTGACTAGCCCGAATCTATGAGCGTTACAATTATCTCCCCCTTAGGATGATTACGTCCCGAAATTGTCAACAAAATAGGGCTTGTATAATAACTCCATACGTTATATTTTCATCCTAGGTAATAACCATAACTCTTATTTCTTTTCTAACGAGTTTCTAACTCTTGGACTTCTTGACTGTTGGCGGTGCTCAATCTTGCACCTACTCTTTATCCTATGTTGGACTTTCAATTGTAACCTTCGAGTTACAAAATCAATCCTTATTGGAAACTCCTTCTTCTCCTTAATAGACTTAAGATAAGTTCTTTCCTTCGATTACCATAATAGATCGATGGGTCATGTTCTAATGACCTCTCATCGTATGATGCAACGCTTAGACTCAGGTCTTTTAGAGTCAAATTCTAGAATGGAAGTTTCCTTCCTTCATGTTCTAATGTGATATAATCACATTCTAGCATGTAGCACTTCTAGCTACAAGCTCTTACTTTAACAACGATCGCGATACTTCTATTGATCGCTTCGATTATCTTTCACTTCAATCGTTTGGCTTAAGTCAGATGCTACATCGATCTTGGTTCTCTGAACCACGTAACATAATCATCTTAGTCGGACTCGATTTGATATGACCACTAGGGTCGGAACAACAATCATTTTCTTAGTCATTACCGAAACGATGGTAACGACAGACATGAACAAAACAAAGTCAATTACTAGCGCCTTCGTAACCTTGTGACTTTCCATGATCCAAGTGTGAGTCCTGTGCTTCTGGTAGTATAGGCCTCTACTACCTTTCACACCTACTCATATTCGTCCCAAGTATTGCCTCGTAGTCCACCAAGTCACCATACAAGAATTTCAAATAGTCATTTAACACATATGATAACATAACTAAGGTTTATATTATTTCTTGAAACGATTACATAGGTATTCAAGTTCACCCTACACTATGACTCTTATATTAGGCTACATCACATGATACTATTTATATGGATACTTTATAGATCCTTTCTCTTAATCCCTCGCATCGTCACCTGCTTCATCAAGGATCATCTGGAATGCTCTTGCCTTTGGCTTTGGCGGTGCATTTGGCCTTGCTGCTTCATTTTTCTTCGGGCAATCTTTTGGCATATGCCCCATGTCTATGCATCCGTAGCACACCTTGTAATTAATCGTACAATCTCTGGAATAGTGACCGGATCTCCCATACTTGTAACAAGTCACTTCTCCGTCGCAACTCCCATAATGCTTCTTCTTGCACTTTTCACAC